AAGCATTAGTCAATTCCGTGACTGTCAAATCTGCAACAACACATCATTTATAAAAGACTCAGAAACAAAGAATATACTCACATATCCAAGACGAATTATCAAACGATAAAGCGCAAAATTCTCTGTTCCTAATAAATTACGACTTGCGTTTTCACGAATCATTGAAATAACCATAGGATCACCATTTTCATCAACACCCATGTAATTTGAATGAGCTTAAAATAACGTCAAGATACTCATTACTCTTAAAAACAGATTAAGGCGTGCATAGAGAAATAAAAAAAAATAAAGACCCTCTTTGAAACGTACAAAAAAGAATAACGTTTCTACCGTTTGATAAAAAGTTACAGAAATCATTGAGTGTGATTGCAGGCAAGTTTACCATCTCATCATTATCTCATTTCACTGATCCTTTTACTTCTAACTGAAAAATTTTGTCACTTCTGTACTTAAAAAATTTTTATAAGAATACTAACGGCGTCCCAGAAAGCAGTGTCGATAATAATGAGCTCCTAAGGGTTGGGGTTCAATTACGTTCTTCGTCTGCCTCGCTGCACACAACCTGATCTTTGAATTCTCACAGTTCATGAATAATAATGTATAAACGATCATTCAGCCTGGCTTTCCGCAAAAAAAGTTAAGAGATTCCATTACTGAGTCTACTACCCTAACTGCTTTGATTTACAGTATAAATGAGTGGCTTTTAAGCATTTAATACTCACCGTCCTCCAAGATAAACATTTGAGACGTCTTCAAGAACCGAAACTTCGGCAGCAAGATTTTCGCGATGCCATGTTTGACCAGCCCCATAAGTATCTTCACAGCTTTCACACTCAATTAGACCTAAGTGCCGTCTTGGTTCTCCACCTAGTTCGTTCCTTAAACAGACGAAAAAACAGCTAAACACACCTGAATTTGGATTAGAACCTTTTTACTGTTACTAAACGTTGATTTTAGATTTTAAAAGGTTACGACAACTCCAGACATATGAGCAGATTCTTCGACTCGAAGATGCTTAAAACATATTATGCATTGCGAACTCACATTAAGGCAATCTGTGCCATCAATGTCTCAATAACTTTCTTGCCTATTATTAATTGTTCAACAATTTATATCGCTAAAAACTTGAAATTTTTTAATTCTTAGAAGTTTCTTTCCCTCTCATTGCTCTTCCACCAAACTGTTATCAATTTTTATTCGTTCTTCTGCCGCATCCTTAATTGTTGCTTTTGCATTAAAATTCTAAATACAAGACAAAATATTCCTTTCTAAAACTCAACAGTCAGCTTAGTTAATGCTATAAATTTAGAAAAAAACGGTCCAAAGGTGTTATTGAAAAGCTCAAATATTTTCTTACTGCAACAGATTGAAATTTAATAAATAAAAAATAAATTTTCTTGGAGAAATTTTTACATTTTTTTGAAGTGATGCTTTACCAATAAATACTCAAATACATTCTGTTAAGTATCAGAAAAGAGACACTGAATTTTTGAAAAACTGCTTTTCTCTCACTTGTACATCATTAACTACTGAAAAAGTAGTAGTTATCAAAAAGTGTGAAACCGAACACTTTGATAAGATAGAATGTTCCAAAAGACCAAAAAATTTTGTCCTTTCATAATCCATACTTTTAAGTATTGAAGTTGCAAAGGCAAAAAATCATCATTAAACAGCCAGATATCACAAAAAAACTGTTAACAGTTAAAGGTTAATAGAAAAAAGCTATGCACTTAAAAACAACATAAAAACTCCCTTATCATTTGTTCACTCTTTCTTTTTTTTTTTAATAAAACTCAAGCTTTTTTTTT